AGAGAGGGGGGGGAGAAGAGAGAGAGGGGGGGAGAGAGACTTTTTTTTTCTTATTAAAAACATTTCATAATGAGCATGCTTCTCCTAACATCTGAATTATGTTTGGTCCTCAGCACTTTTGTACCACATGTGCAGCTCTGCATCATTGTGCTTCCTGTCACATGATTCTGTGCAACTTCCTCTTTCAGGCACTAGTGATCCAACAGCAGACAGGACTGGAAATACCTGGTCTTTGTTTTCACATAATGATCACATTTCCAGCAGGCAGTGGTATGAACTGGCACAGTAAAGCAATCTATGTATTCCAGCCCAATAATTTCAGTTTCAATAAGCCTAATGCACCCGAGTATAGACAGACTTATCATTGAAAAGCAGAGTAGGAAAACCTGTCCGCTGCCAGCATGCTGCAGATTTGCACCCTGTGTGTGGAAGCAGCAGCCTCTCTACAGAGGTCCAACACACTCCCCTGCCGAGTCAGACCTATAAGTCAGGAAAGCTGATGCCTCCGGATGATTGGAGAGCTCTGACCGCTGCAGCACACTGACTAGCTCATCCCTATGACACTCTCCTCATGTTGTGCTGCTTGTACGTGTTGAGAATCTTGACATCCGATTGGCCTATAGTGCTGCCCTCTGATTTCTATAGATCTGTCCTGAAAGAATGCCTGCACTCCCACAGGAAGCTGCCATGACCTTACCGGACTGGCTAGAAGACTGGAGGGAGGTATGGTTTAGGGGTTGTATGGGAAAGGTACGTATGGGGTCAGAAGGGTGCTTTGAGGGGGGTGAGCCGGGTGCTGGGTGAAAGGCTGGAGAGGATGAAGGGTTAGGCTCTGTGTTACATTTTCATGACGGAGTTCCTGCCGCAAATAATTATTCTCACGTGTCCTGGTGATGGGACATCGCAGCTAAAATTGTAAAAGGAAAAATCCTTCCAACAACCCACATATGTTACTATATTTATTCTGTCCCAGTTCCTTGTGTGCTTGGACTGTAGATGAGTATTATGCAGATAAACTCATCATGCCATACAGCTTTGTGTTTTTTTTTGTAGACTTGCCTATTCCTAGCCTGCGGTACGGTGCCAGGCACCCCAGGGTCATGATGTACAGCCTCTTCTGATTCTGGGAGTGATCCACCCTACAGCATACTGCTCCCACTGCTATGTCGTTGAAATAAGCTGCAAGAGAAAAGACAGATTACTCAGGTCAGAAATATCTTCACGCTATCATAAAAAGATCATATTGGACCATCGATGATGAACCAGAGAACAATTTCCAGAGTGGGGACCCCATTGTCGGCAGCCTTCCGCCATGGCGTCCCTCTATCAGCTGATCAAAAGGAGGCGGTTGGAAAATTCTCGGCCGTAAGGCGCTTGCGGCCAAATCGGCTCCATTTCAGTATTCTGACAGCAGCCGGCGGACGCTGTCGGGATGGAATGCAAACAGGACTAGAGTTTTTCTTTTACTTAAAAGGAGCACTATGGAGGTGAGTGATTTCCACCAACTCTCATAGTTAGAGCCGACGCATGACAATGAAGCTGTCACAGGTCGGCTCTGATGATCAGGAAGTCAGAGAACACACACCGCCGAACGCTGACTTCCCGATCCTATTCCTGCAGAGCGGAGACCTTCAGTCACTGCTCCCCGCAGGGATTCCCCTCTCCAATCCTCCAGCGCCGACTGGAGAGGGCACAGCTGGCTCTGACTCTAGATAGGCAGCGCCCGCTGTCAATCAGCCAGCTGGATGGATCTTGACAGTATTGTCAGGATCCGTCCCGGCTGTGGTGCTCTCAGTATATAGCGGGCAATAGTGAGCTCAGGGTCGCAGGAGGTGGTTAGTATATGTCCTCCCGTGACCCTGAAGAGAACTATGGGATGAAAAGGTCACCCCATAGTTCTCTTTTAAAGATGTGAGCTTCCAAGAGAACCAGTCACACGTTTCTATGAAGTGTCACAATGCAGGCATGGCCATGATTGATGAACATTATATATGGAGAATGTAAACAATGGAGAGGGCTGTGGCTGTCCTTATCATGCAAGTAAGCAGTTAGGCCAGGAAGGCTTTAAAAGGTGGGGTACACTTTCCCTTTAAACGTTTATCATACACATGCGCGCACACCACCCGCAGGAATTTGCCCTCTGCATTGTGAGTTGGCCCTCATTTATAGAAGTGCAATCGTCTCAGCCCGACGAGTGGATTCTGGAAGGCAAAGACTGGCACAGATGAACATGAAGGCGGGCACGTACCAAGTTTTGCGAGCTCCCCGACTTCCAGGACGTCCTTATAGAACTTGTCATTGTAGCTGACTGGGAAGATGACCTGGTTCAGCCGTTTCAACTGTTTTATGTTGTGTGGAGTCACATCTCCCAGCTCGATGCGGCTACTGGAACAAAGCAAAACATGCTGAATTATCACTCCACGGACAGAAGCCTAAAAAGAATGCTACACAATGGAACAACAGGAATGAGCATAACCCCGGATGACAGGCTACACATCGCAGTCGTGGACTGAACAAGGGCCCGTTCACACCAGTGTGCCGTGTAATGCTCCGTGAAAACGTGCAGCAATGCATGAAACACAGCGCTGCGGCAACGTTCATTCTAAATGGCAACCTCATATACCTAAGCAGTGCACCAAAATGCCCTGTACATGGTGCAGTGCCGCATTTAAACTATGGTGCATGTCCCTTTTAAATCGCGGTGTTAACAATGAACGGGCTGCCTTAGTAAACTGCTTGTTCACCTGTTTGCTTTACCGATACGCACTTGTGTGAACAGGCCCAAAGTCAGACGGATTAGTTCTATTCACTGGATCCCCAGAGCTGGCCGGCTATCCCAGCACTCCCTCCCGCCTGTCTTTTCCGATGCTGTAGTGATGGTATGTCCCTCAGCGTCCTCACGTCCCACATCCCACATCATGACACGAGGATCCTTAAGCCCGTCACACACTGCATGCGAAGACCGAACAGAGTGAAGCAAAGCTCTCAGCCACGGAGCTTCACATGCAGTGTGCTGTGAGCTGAGTGCAGGCAGATGAATGACCATCTTGAGCCTATCGGATCGCGCGTAACAACCGGCTGGACTTCACATCCTGACGCGCGGGTTTATAAGCACTAGCCGATTGGCTGAAGATAACATTTTTCATCTTGGCGCGCTCAGCCATGCCGGAGAGAAAATGACACGACACACTGCACGCGAAGGCAGCGCGCCACCGCTAGACGTGCAGTGTGTCGCGGGCTTTAGTCCTCTGCCGCAGAGGGGGAGCAAGGCTGGAAGGACCGATCTAAGAGCAAGCCGGCTCAGAGGATCAGGCGAGTATAACTTTTTTTTTATTTTAACACCTTGATGGAAATGAGCAGTTTACCCTTGCAATGCCCCGCTTCAATGAATAATAAGTTTCATCTGGAGTTCTCTTTTATATAAAAATATATGTGTGTGACGTCCTATGTTTAAGAACACAACGCAGAGTGCCAGCAAACAAAGATTTGTTCCAATCACAACCGAAAAGCTTCAACATCTCAATTACAGAATCTTAGTCTGGGTTCACGTTCACACCTGGGCGTTCGTAATATGCGCGTTTTTTGCCCGCAGATTTGTTAGTGCGATTTTTTGTCCACAAAATCTCTATTTAGAAGTCCAATGGATACGTGCTGAAATCTGCCGCCCCAAAGAAGCTCAAGTACTATTTCGCACGTAGGGCGTTTTTCAGCGCGACAAAATGCGCTGAAATACGCCCAGGTGGGAACATTGCCCATAGCAATTAATAGGATTTAACTTCACTCGATCAGCGCTGAAAAAAACGCCCAGGTGTGAACCCAGCCTTAGGGGCCGTTCACATTAGAAGCAGCGTGCGGTGTATTTCAGCGACTGAACAAAGCCAGCCACCGCTAGGCCACATAGAAAACGTTTAAAGCCCTATGTGCCCCGTTCACACTATAAACACAGATGTGATCCGCAGTATGCCAAGAAGAAACGCAGACATGTCTTTATTCGCAGCACACCTCACCAAAGGTCACTGCTGCACAGAATATCACACTGTTGTGCAGGGACCTGAAGCGTACAGTTTGTACACTCCAAATAAAGTTCAGAGAAAAAAATTTAAACAGAACTGCACATCACTGGAGAAGTTGTTCTGTCAAAACTCCAATTTCTCGAGATCTCCAATAATGTCACGGCCGGTTGACTTGCCAATAAGAGGTTTGGATGAGATGGCTCTGGTGTGCGTGCGCCACCCGCAGCATTTCCCTATATACATACCACACAGCAATAAAAGTATTATAATCAACTAGGGTCAGACTAATCCAGTCCTTTATTAACTGAGTCACCCCACTCAATATGGCTGCCAGAGTCGAGCAAGCGTCCTCCCATGCGGTAAAGAGAATTGGAGGCCTCGATAAGGCTTCTGAAGCCGCAAAGGTGCAGTGAAGAGCATTGCCGAACTCCGAGGATTAGGAAAATGCCGCAGGTGGTGCACGCGCACCAAAGCCAACTCGTCCAAACCTCTTACTGGCAAGTCAACTGGACCGGACGTCATTGGAGAGCTTGAGAAATTGGGAGTTTGACTGAATACCATCAAAACAAGGCAGCCTGCTGGATAAAACGCTTTTAGCATATGGGCTCGTGTGAAAGAAAAAGAAAGGGGGGGACATGTGACCTTGCATGTACATTCGTACTAAATCCGCTCTCATATACATTTCTTTGCCTGGAGTTCAGCTTTAAATGCTGCTAGCTAAAAATAGGAACAAGCAAATACAAAAGTAACAAGCATTAACGTAGACCTTTACCCCGTCTCTAAAAATAACATCAGCATGCGGATATGAAATCATCTTACATTCATTAAACATTTTTCTTTTACATGCAATTACTGTTTTTTTCACTTCCTGGTCCTCTTGGGCATTAGTGATGTAATGTGCCCAAGCATTGCACCCCGGGAATGTTAGCAGAGCGTTGCTGGGAAATCTCACGAGATCTCAGGGAAAAGCATTTGCCTCCCCTGAGATGATGTGCATGGTCACATGCCCTAGTCACATGTGCTAGAGTTCCAGGAAGTAAGGGGCACTATATTAATCTGCCCTCAGTAAAAATGGTCGATGTGAGAAGAATGGGGGGGGAAAGATAAATTAAGTAGGATGCACCGATACCGGTTTTTCGGCACCAAATAAGAGTACCGATATTTTTTGTTTCTATACTCGCCGATACCGAAAGTCCCATTAGGGATGCCAGGCAGCGTGTAAAGTCTCACCACCTGGCTTCTGGATTAGCAGTCTCCATGCCCCCTCAAGGAAGCATGGAGCCTTATGATTGGCCAGAAAGCCGGATCCCAAGTCATTACCCAGTGCTCGGGAAGCCGGCTCCATGCTCCCTCATCACTTGGTGACGAGGGAGCATGAAGCCGGCTTCCCGGACGATCGAGGGGCGGCGGGGGGGTGGGGTGGTTATGACTCGCTGTGCGGCTTCCTGATAGGCCAGCTTACCCAACATTTAGGTCACCAAGTAACGATATCGGAAGCTCAGCTATCAGGCTAGGCATCGGAGGATTTGGGTGAGTACGAATACTCGCCCAAATACTCTGCATCGGCACCAATACTAGTATCGGTATATTATTGGAAAAAAGGAATGCAAAGAATACAAAGCCAGCAATTATCTAGAAGTATCCGTTTGTAGATTGTCATCACTAAACATTTCCAGAAGGTGTCTTTGTTGTCATTTTGAAGATTTGGGTAAAGTTCCTCTCTAAACACTGCTAGCTAAAATAGAAATGATGCAAATGCAAAGTTACAAGCGTAAAGATCATCATCATTAAGTGCGCAATGAAACGTCTATACACCAACACCGAACCCGATCGCTATACCTTGTATTACAGAGCTAATGGGTCGGCTGTTTTAATTATAATGATTACGGTAGATTAAAAAGAAGAACAGCCGCTGTACCAGAAAACACAGAAGCCGCACTGATTGTAAGAGAGAGCAATTGTGGGAGATTGTTATTTACTAATTGCTCATTTGTGATAAAAATAGACAGAACCGTGCAAAGACCGCATCATCGCCCAAACCTACGGTGATCCCCCACGTTCCAGGAAGGACACTGACAGTCGATCATGTGACCGAGTGTGGTCTTTATGTCGCAGTGACCGTGAGCAAGTTCCTACCATTGCGCCAAGCACAACGTCTACCTTCCAGCGCCAATTAGAGGAAACAAAATGCAGAGGCGAGCCTGCAGGAAAGGCCGTAGTGCACTGGCAGGCTAAAGCCCCCGTATATAGAACATCAGCCTAGTCTATACGGAAGCTTTAAGTGACATGCCATGCACGCAGAACAAACAAAAAGGGTACATGGACGACCGAGCTATCGGGGACGCCGACCACGGTGTTCCAGCTCGTGAACCGATAGGTTTTCCAGCCTGTGAAAAGCATTTCAAACTTACCAGAATTCAGAGACGGTTGCATTGCTCATAGCTATAAATAGCTCCTGACCGTCCTCAGAAGGAATGTGTTGCCCTGAAACGGATCCCGCTGCAGATCGCTCCACCAAGCCCAAAAATATACTTAGAAGCTATCGCCTGTTAAATTTAGTCTCGACGGAGACAGACCTCTCCTCAGTCACCCGGACTGAAGGGTTGTGCCCTCTGCGAGGATCTACACGGGGTCTATAGGCATGTGGTAATTCCCCATCTGTTCCCAACAAAGAGACAACCGAAGCTCCGCAGCTTATACCGGGTACCATTCTTACCCAGATAATGCCCAAACGGTTACCTGGCTAGTGCATGACCAGCCTTACCTGGGTGATCCAGCGGGAACCCAATATTATAATCTGGTTGCATATAAAAGGGGAACAGGATCATTCATCTAACAGAACCTTTTCCTTGCTCGTCATGTGCAGTGAGGTTTTGCACGTGTACCATTCACACAACATGTATTTAAAGTACGGTGAAGGGAATTTACTAAGACTGGAGCAGACGGAATCTGGAGAAGCTGTGCACCAATCGGCTTCTACCTCTCATTTCCAAAGCTTAAAGGAGAACTATGAAGCGAGTGAAAAATCACTCAGCCTAATAGTTCTAGCCGACCTGCGACAATGAAACTGTCACAGGTTGGCTCAATAGATCGGGAAGTGAGCGTACACATACCGGCTCTCGCTCACTTCTCGATCATCTCCCTGCAGAGAGCCGTGACTGTCACTCACGGCTCCGTGGAGATTCCCCCCCTCTCCCGGCTCCGATCCTCCAGGGCTGACTGGCGGAACGCATGGGGGAGGGTACAGCTGGCTCTGCCTCTAGATGTGATTGACAGAGAGCTGCGTGATTGACAGAGGCAGAGCCAGCTGTCAATCACGCAGCTGGGTGGATCCAGATAGTATTGTCGAGATAAGTCCCGGCTGCAGCGTCTCAGCATACCGCAAGCTGTAGCTCGCGGTATACTGAGCTGTGGGTGACGGGAGGACGCTAGTTTGTGTCCTCCCGTGACCCTGAGGAGAACAATGGGGAAAAGCACTGACCCCATAGTTCTCCTTAACTGAACAAGATGAAGATAGAAGCTGATTGGTTACTATGCACACAAACAAAGCCCTTAGGAGAGCTGGCGAGTTCTACAGTCATAGCCCAGCCTGGATGTACCAGGACAGACAGCAATGAAATGGGGTGAAGTGTAGGGAGTGGGGGGATTAGAATAGAAAACAAGATGCACCCATTGGCAATCCAAAAGTAAAAAAAACAAAAGTGCACTTGCACTGAAGAATAAAGGAGGAAGCAGATGGGAAGGTCACATGGCTTCCACTACTAAGGAACGCAGACATCAAGTACCATCCGGGCTCCATAGACCTGCACTGTATGTGGGGACGTCGAGGGAGAGTCCACAGCTGGAGCAGAGGGGAAAGAGAGCGCCAACCTTCAGACGAGCGGGGGATTCGGGTTAATAAAACAGCTTTTTTCGGTCCCCTTGGCATAAACGAGCAGTCAACCCTAAGAATGCAGGGGCAGCACCATTGCAAGAAAACGTTTCCCTGGAGCTGGGCTCTTAATGCCCGTTAGGTCTAGGGGTGGAGGAATGATCCCTAATCCCTCACTCCTCTTCGATGCTCCATTTTGTGGACGGGCCCTCGCCGTCCTTGCATACAATGCAGGACTAATGGTCCTCTACGGTTATGTGATGACGTCAGAGTGCCACCTCCAGCCGGGGCACCTTAGAGGTGTTCGGTGGAATGCTCCTCCCCACCCGCTTTGGGGACACGTCACACCGCTTGAAGAAAGTATTACCATTTAACCCTTACAGTTCGGGTGGGGGGGGGGGGGGGGCCCAAATGTTTTTTTTTTTGGGGCC